GATAAAGCATTTTTTAAAAGCCCTCTCTGGCAGTAGAGTTTACATTTTCTCAGAGTTAAAGGTGTTCTAGATAATGTTTGGTCATTCCTTTCGATTTATTTGTTCTTCTATATATATCTTTCTAACTTTTTCTTTCAAAAATAATTCAATCACGAAAAGTTTAATCTTCTACAGAAAATATACTTCCCTCCCCGCTCCCATTTGCCATAAACAGAGATAGGAACAACTTTTTAAAAAAAAATTTTATGAGACAGAGTTCTTGCAAGTTCTCTCTGACATTGATTAAGAAGGTGGGAGAGATGGATAAAAATAAATATGAAGGAGTTACTAAAAGAATGTTAGACTTTGGCCAGAGACCAAAAAGAATTAGCATTTTATTACAACCTTATCTATCAGCCGTGTCTGTGTTAGCATCTGGAGAATTTTTATTAAAGAATTAGGTTCTTCTGTCAAATTAATGAGGTAATACTATTTCCTTTTTAAGAAAATAAAGTAGGTGAATATGAGAAATATTAGTATTTGAAGACATTTCACATTTATAATGTGTTAATAATCTTGCCACTCTTGTAAAGATCTCTCTGGGCTCAGCTGCATAAACAACCGCTTAGAAACTTAAGTCTGTTTTAGGCTGTGGTTCTCCCATAAACCTATTTTTAAAATGGGAATTGCATTCTGTTAAATCTCTGGCTATTAAGGAATTTGGTAAAATATTATTGTTCTTTAATAGAGTTTAGTGAAAATTACATTGACCTGGGAGTTTGGCCACAGTGTAGCCTTAAACAGGTCACTTAAGCTCTCTTAGTCTATTTATTCATTTGTAAAATAAGGGAGTTGGGCTAGAGGATTTTCCCGTCTCTTCTTCCTCTGAAATTTTGTGAGTCTGTAATTGATTGTTTGAATTTACACTTTCTCCCTAAAACCCGTTTGTCTAGGTTTGCATAAACACAGCTTTATAGGATTATAGATGATGTTTGATCAAAATTATTTATGGCATTTTTTGGAGGGTGAGTTGTAATTCATCTGTCTAATACAAATTTAGGGGGAAGTCACCACGACAGCATCTAAAAAAACTAATTTTAATCCCCTTTTTTATCATTTTACAAGGTCCTTTCTCAGCTTGTCAACTTTTTAAAAGTTTGAGTAAGAAATTAACCATTGTACTTACTTGTCAATGTGACATAGTAATGGCTGTTGTTATAACTTACCTTATGTAGCACTTTAAATGTTTACAAATACTGAAAAATATTGCCTCATTACTTTAATGAGCTCAAATTTAGAATTTCATAATTTACAATATTTTAAGAAGTATATTAAGAAGGGGGACAAATTATGATTATCATGGGAACTTTCTGGCTTAATAATTTAAATCTTCACATAAAAAGTTCCTGCCAACCACTTTCTGAAAACTGACAAGTTGGGTTTTTTTTGTTTGTTTGTTTGTTTGTTTTGTTATGTTTTTTGGTGAGGCAATAGGGGTTAAGTGACTTTCCCAGGGTCACATAGCTAGTACGTGTCATGTGTCTGAGACTGGGTTTGAAGTCATGTCTTTCTGACTTTAAGGCCAGAGCTCTGTCCACTGCGCCACCTAATTGCCCCACCTAACTGCCCCTTAAATGACAGTTTTAAAGAATCAAATACTTACAGCTAAAAGAGATGTACCATCAATAGAAGTCCAATCTCGAGGTTACCTATTGCCATTCTTACGTATACGTTTGTGTTCATGTGCACATATGCATGTACAAAGGCATATGGAGCATAAGTAACAATGGAAGCTAATGGAGTGTGTGTATTAATAAGCATCTCTTAGGAGATTTTATTTTTTAAAACAAGATAACATATATTGCTTACTGAAAACTAAAATTCCCTATATTTTAGAGAGATTTTTGTTTTTCCTTTAAGAATTCCTGTGGCAAAATATCTTGTCTCAAAATGTGTAAACACTAGTATTTTTATTAGTTATTTCTCACAATACCAGTTCTCCAAAGTAAATTTGCATTGTCATTACATTTTATATATAAAGAAACTGAGACATAGAGGTTAAGTGATTTGATCGATGTTTTTGAGAAAAAAAACAAAAACAAAATATCCACCCTTCCTATATGAAATAACACTTTACAGTGAATCACATAATAGTCTCATTTGAAGACAAATGACAGGTACCAGTTGTAATTTTTTTTTGAAAGCGGTATGTAAAATCTGTATTAAAAACCAGTTTGATCTAAGCCATTCAGGAGAGAAGACCTAGAAATCTAGATCATTCTATAACTCAATTCATCATAGCCCTATGAAATAATTTGAATTAAGCTTGGAAACATGTATTTTATATAGCAACCACAGTGTTTTCAAACACTACAGTATGAAATGATCTTTTTTACAAAAGCTTTGTTATCCTATTCCATTTTGAGGATGGGTGGAATTACAAATTAAATATGACATAAATACAAAACAGATGCTCTTTTGATTTGAACACAGTGCAGGAATCATCTGTTGAGAATCAGAGCAATGTAAATTGGGTTACTGATAACAGTGGGAAAATCCGTGTGGCTAAGCTTTTCATTAAGTACTAACTTCGTCAGTCTGATACTCTTTGTGTGGATCATTAAGAGACTGTTCCCCTCCTACGTATGTGGAATAACCATGTGAATCCTGGGCACATTTTGGTATATTTGTGGATAAATAAAAAACATTGAATTCTTATGGTAATAAGACTAACACTTTTTTTTTTTTCATATTAAAGGTACAGATCCCCTTTAGCCTTCTGAATTCTTAATCTGAATTCTGGATCAGGGTTGTTGTGAGGGTCAAAAGAGATAAACTGTAACACACTTTGATCATCATTATTATCGTTATTATTAATCTAGCAATTTGCCAAATGCTTTCCCCTGTCACTTGTTTTTGATGCTACTTTCTGTGGCAGTCTCTTTCCATGTGGTTTTGTGGCCCAGCTGCATTCCCATTAGCAAAGTGAGGGCTTTCTAGTTAAAAGATGTTGTAGAAGAGAATTTTTGAGATATCTCATACATCTGCCAGTCTGAGGAATGAAGGACTCAAATGTATAACAAGTCTGGAGAGTTTGTTGTTGTTGTTTTTTTTTTTTTTAAATTAATGTTGTCAAAAGATCACTCCTAGAATTGGTCACTTTTGGAGACAAGGTTATAAGACATAGACTGAATTACCTTTAGAGTGATTATTACATGTTTCCTTAGTATATAAAAGAATATTGTGTACTTTTTCTGTAAAGGTGGGTAGTATAAACGAGGCAACAATTTGTTGTTCCAAACAAAAGTGTTGGAACAACAGTTGGAATACAACGTGACATTTTTCTTCCCAAGAACATAGGCAGGAGGGTCATCCTTGAAATAGCATTTAAATAATATAATAATAATAAATATACCAGAAAATTAGATTTGGTGAATTCAAAACTGTATTCCTTTCTCACTTTTACAGGGCTTAGTTATTTCCAGGTATCAGATATAAGTCTAAAGACTGTATGTGATAGCACTGAAATTACTCTGAATGCTTCTGAAGCTTCTTTCCTTATTGTTGTTGGGTTTTTTTTTTAAAGCGGAACATGACTAGAGTAACTACTTAACAGCACCTAATAATGTGTTTCAGAGTACACAGCAGTGCCCCCAGATAATCGGTGCTAAAGATATGAATGATTAAAGAATATTTTTATGTAGTAGGAGCATCCTATGAAGTCTCTGAATTTATGTTTCAATGGTTGCTGAATCCTTTGATTCATTCAGAAGAGCATAAACTTAAAATTAGACACAAGTCACTGTGTCTTTGAAATCAATGATAACACAGTAACCTTTTGGTTTTATGTGGATTTTTTTTTAAAATAACATCTAGCACAGTTCTGTGACCACAAAGGTGTTCAGTAAATGTTCGAGATAACTGATTAATGAAAACAAAGAATGGTAGTCCTGAAATTGAAGTACCCACAATGAAGCAATTTACAACATTACTTTCTAAACAGATAGGTCTCTATATTTGTTGGGCCACATATTTTAAAAAGTTTATAACTGCCATAGTTCCCACTTGTGGCAGTTTTTGTCTTAGACAAATAATAGTTTTTCTCAGTCTTACATGTATATAATAATTTTTAAAGGGATGTAAAATTATAAATTTAGATTGTCTCGTACTAATACTTTCTAAAGCATTGTCATAATTGTAATTTTTTTCTTAATTTAAAAAAGATTTAGTTGTCATATCTCACATCTGCCATTTCTCCATTTAAAAAAAATAATATCAGCCCTAATTTCTTGGACTTTTCAGAATAATGCAGACTTCATTCCTTCAACATACATTTATTAAGCACCTACTGTGTGCAAGGCACTGTGCTAGATGCTAATTGGATTAGCATCCCTAATCTGTTGATTATATCCAATTTTCTTATTTTTTTTTATTTAGACAATTGCTTATATTCCTGAGAATTTGTAAAATAATTTACAAGGAACCACTAAATTTGATGTTTTTCCAACTAAAATGCCACAATAGTTCCATATCCCTTTTTAAACTTTATTTTAGATTTAAAGGTTTTAATGGTGTGTATATGTGTTTTTTTAAATGTATATTACTATGGCCAATGTGTATGTTTGTTTATTTTTTTAAAATGTGTATACCAGATTGATGTTGCTATCAAGGGCAGCAATGTGGCCCAAAGTTTTTTTATTCATTCCCTAATGAAAAGGTCTGTTTTAAATAAAAGCCCATGACAAGTTTTCAGTCTAAGATGATCTAAAGGATTGGTTTTTCTTTTTCCTTTGCACTCTCAGGGAAGTCTTGGAGGTAGTAGAGAAAGGGAAATGGTGCCCTGGCCTGGGGTTGGTTCCAGGCACCATAAGTGCGGTAGGCTGAGATTCCAACAGAAATATTGTAGATTATACAAGGTGGCCGGCCCTGAGAATTATAGTAGTTGAGATCTTGTAAATGTCAAGTGCTTTTGCTTAGTGTTGGCACCGCACTGACGTTGAACTTTTTCTTAATCATCCTAGGTTCCCGTAAAGAATCTGCTCCCCAAGTTCTGCTTCCAGAAGAGGAGAAAATTATAGTGGAAGAAACTAAAAGTAACGGTCAGACTGTGATAGAGGAAAAGTAAGATGTCCTCCAACAGTTCACAGAGGGTTGCAAATTTAAATCTTGGTACCTGCCCGCTACCTTTCCCCCCATTCCATCCCCTGTCACACTGAAGTTTGAAGAGGGTGGGCTTATGATTATAAAAGCTTTACTGTTCTTCCGCAGGCTGAATCTTGCTTTGGGTAAGAATTCTGCCATTTACACAAATCAGTTGAGTTTTAAACTCTTCCAGTTAAGATGTCAACATTGTAACATCGGAAAAATTAAGATTTAAGAGTATAGCAGGGGTGGGGAACCTGTGGCCTCGAGGCCACACGTGGCCTTCTAGGTCCTCGGGTGTGGCCTTTTGACTGAGTCCAAGTTTTACAGAAAAAATCTTTTATTAAGGGGATTTGTTCTGTGAAGTTTGGATTCAGTCAGAGAGCCACCCTTGAGGACCTAAAAGGCCACATGTGGTTTTGAGACCACAGGTTCCCTGGGGGCAGGTAGGTGGCGCAATGGATGGAGCACCGGCCCTGAAGTAAGGAGGACCTGAGTTCAAATGTGACCTCAGACCAAACACTTGACACTTAATAGCTGTGTGACCCTGGGCAAGTCACTTAACCCCAATTGCCTAAAAATAAAGAAATTTAAAAAAGCGACCACAGGTTCCCCATCCTTGGTAGTGCAACAACATTGACTTAGTTAATGAATACTCTGACAGGTACACTCTTGGCTAAGCATTTTAATATAACTGCTCAACCTAATGTAGTTTTTAATATATCAAATCATATTTTATTTTCAGGAGTCTTGTTGACACAGTTTATGCATTAAAAGATGAAGTCCAAGAATTAAGACAGGTGGGTAACAACTATACCTTAGTCATATATGTAGTCAGAAAAATAAAATCTTTATAAATACACACATACATACACACATCCTTAAATATGCATAGATAATCATGTCTTCAATATTTTGATGTTTTAAAGAAATATTTCACATATCTATTAAAGAGAGGGAGAGAAGGCTCATTATTTTCTTTCTTTCTTTCTTTCTTTTTTTTTTTTTTTTTTAAATAAAAAGGCGCAAACCATCCAGCAATCTCAAGTGGTTCTCTCTAGCAATTTAGTTGAGGCCGGTGACAACAGAAAAAAAAATGCCACTCATCCCAAACTTAGCCTGTTAGATATGCCTTGGGGTGCCGGGATAAGGATGGAAAATAGCCCAGATCCTACAAAAAGGTTCCATGATTCTTTACACTTACTCAGATTGTAATCCATCTAGTTTAATTGTAATCCCTAAGTGATTGTCTACTTGAAAATATCCAGTAAAGGGGAATTCACTGTCTCTCAGGGCAGCCTATTCTACTTTTGAGTAGGTGTGCTTTTTTGGTACCACTTATTCTTTGATAACAAGGGGCTATTGTAATTATTAGAGGACCAGCTCTAATTGTTAGGAAGTTTTTTCTTAAATTGAAACTGAATCTGTATCTCTGTAGCTTCCACCCATTTTCTCTTCCATTATTCTACTTATCCGTCATCTGGGAACAAAATAGAATTAGTCTAATGCCTTTTGTACAAAATGGCCCTTTTCATTCTCTTATCTCAGTCTTACAGTTATAAGGTTGCATTTTATTATGGTCTAGACTTGTGCTTCTATTGGTATGTGAAACTCCTAATGCTGAAACTCTGTCGATGCAGATCAACTGTCCTGGAAACTAGTCTCATGGCTGCTTAGACTTGGTTGGGGGACTAAGTGACTAAAAAACTTGGCACTATATGTCAAAGGTTTCCTAACATCTGAGACCAGCTTTGTATTCATATGAGGTTATGTGGGCAGCAAAATTTGTCATAAGATGAAAATTTTGACTAACAAACTAACCAATATATAATTACTTTTCCCTTAGACATTCTAACTAGCTTCACTCTAGTATCCTTGCCTATTCTAGCCTCCTTACCCCTCAAATTGCCAGTATCCCACTGATTATTCACAGGACTTAAAAAGAGAATAATTTGACTACAAAAACATTAAGAGAGGAACTTTAGAAAATAATCGAAATCCTAAAATATTTTTGTAATATTGATCTTTTTTCATCATGCTATGAAAATCAAACATATCATGAAGGGTTGTATCATTCTCTCATACAAGTGAGGTCTTGGGAAAAATTGAGCCCCTTCAAAATAAATCAGTATTTGATTCATTCTTTGTTCAAACTATAACATAATAATTCTGTCTTGTTTTCCAAGATAAAGCCCAATTAAGACCTTTTTTATTATCTATTTTGAGAGGATTCACTTTATTGGCCTTTTTCTTACACCATTTATTTTTGAATAGTGGCTCTGCTGGAAGATTGCTATCATTTCTCACCCTCTAACTCTAAGTGCTCTCTTCTCCAGGTTAAATATCCCCAGTTCTTTCAATTAATCCTCTTTTTATATGGTTTCCAGTTTTCACCATCCTTTTCTCCTATCCCTGCAGCTCTCCAATTTGCCATTGTCCCTCCTAAAATGAAGTCTTAGGAACCGAGTGTGGTATTTCAGCTCCATTGGTACAGCAGACACTATGCCATTGCCTGTAGCCTGTCACATTAGCTTTTTTGGCTATTATTTCACACTATTTACTCATTGAGTTTGAAGTCTTCCAAAAAACCCAGATCTTTTTCATACGAACTACTTTCCAGATGTACCCCCACCCCTATCTTGTACAGTATTTGTACGGTTAATTTTTTAAATTCAAGTATGGGACTTTACAAGGGCAGCTAGGTGGTTCAGTGGATAGAGTGCCAGGCCTAGAGTCAGGAAAACTCATCTTCCTGAGTTCAAATGTGGCCTCAGACTCTTACTAGCTGTGTGACACCAGGCAAGTCATTTAACCCTGTTTACCTCAATTCTTCATCTCTAACATGAGCTGGAGAAGGAAATGGCAAAACACTCTATTATCTTGTGCAAATGGGATCATGACAAGTCAGACACAGCTGAAGTGACTGAACAATGACAAAAATGGGATTTTACATTTGTTGCTATTTCATCTCAATAGATTTGGCGCAGTGTTCTAACCTGTCCTTTTGGATTTTGACTCAATCACCCAAAAGTATTTGCTGTTCCAGTATCCCAGCTTGATGTCACCTAGAAATTTTATAGGCATATGGTTTATGCCTTCATCTATGCTATTAACAAAAATGTTGAAAAGCACAGAGCCCAAAACAGATCATTGGAATACTCTATTGGAGTCTTCCTTCTAAGTTGACATCAACACATTAATTACTATTTTTAGGGGGTTCTGACATTCAGCTAGTTTGGAATGCACCTAACTGTACTATCGTAGAACTTTTCCCATTGTTCACAAAATGACTTGAGAGACTGCTAAATACTTTATAAAAATTCGGGTTTGTGATTTCTATGATCTTTGCCTGATCTACCACCTAGTACCACTGTCAAGAGGGAAAGTGAGGTTCATCTGGCATTGACTATTTTTTATAAAATCATACTCTCCCTTAGTGATCACCACTTCCTTTCCTAAGTTCTCTCAAGGGATCTTTTTAGTAATGTGTTCTTTTAAATTTTGCCAGGAATGGAAGTCGACCTCACTGTTTTATGGTCTGCAGACTCCATTCTCTTCCCTTTATAAAAAATCAGGACAATATTTACTGGTCTCCTGCCTTACAGCACCTCTCCCCTTCCTCTTTGATTTTTTTCAAAAACCACCAGTAGGAGTTCAGCAATCGCAGCCAATTTTTTTTTGCAATGTCTTGGGTTATAGGCTTTCTAACACAGGTGATTTGAACTCATTGAGGACAGTTAGGACACTCCCTTACTATCTCCTTATTGACCTTGGGTTTCAACTTCCTCTTACCTATTTTTGTCCTATTTTTTTCTCAGTCTAAAGCTCTCTTAAAACTCCCCTTAGCAGAAAAACTGAAGTCGAAAAAAGTTAAGGAGCAATGCATTCTCTTCATATTTTCATTATCATCCCATCCACACTAAGCAGTGGCCTGATCTTTTTTTCTTTTCTTTGCCTCACAACATAGCTAAAGTGCCTTTTTTTTGTCCTTTTCTACTGCACTCAGCTCAATTTGAATGTTAGTACTTTTGATACTGTTGTATTATTCCTGTGGAACCATAGCAATGCTTTATATTTTCACCCACAATTCTGTTTTCTGTACATTGCTTTTAAAAATCAGAATTGTTCAACTTATTCCCTGTTAATTCCCTTATTGTCCTATTTGGATAGCTCTTTTTCATTTTTGAAATATTTTATGTTTGTGACTTCAGAACTTCATTCTGAAGATCTCTTCATTCTTTTAGGGTTATTTTTCCCTCTAGAATTTTAGGCTATAACGTCTTACTTATTTTTTCTGAAAACCCTTTGCCATCTACTTGAGTAGAATATAAGGCAGGGTGGGGAACCTGTGGCCTTGAGGCCACCCTTTGACTGAATCCAAACTTCAGAGAACAAATCCTCTTAATAAAAGGATTTGTTTTGTAAAACTTGGACTCAGTCAAAAGGCCACACTCAAAGACCTAGAAGGCCACAAGTGGCCGCAGGTTCCCCATTCCCAAATTAAAAGTATATGTCAGATTATGTCTGTCTTTCCTCTCATTTTGTATCATGAATTCTAAAATGGTTGGTTCTCTTGCATTAGGATTCACCTTGTTTATTACCAATACTTTATCTATCTGTCTATCTGTCTATCTGTGTGTACATATAGATATATAGATATTTACATCTGAGGACATAAATTTCATTCCTGTATTTTTTCTAGGATGTTGGCTTCTATGAATTACTGATCCATTCTACTGATATTCTTCTTCCTTTATTGTATCTACTATACTTTTTAGTATCTGGTTTGGTAGATTAAAGTAGGCAATTTCTCCCTACCCCTTCACTTTCTTAAAACTCTTTTGACTAGGGGCTTAAGACAAATGTTTTTATTTTTTGTCTTACCAATTTTCATTACATTGAGTCTGTTCCTGGACTATCTATCATTCCTATATGTAAGCTGTGGCTTAGAAATCCAAGTCCTGTTCTCAGATACCATCTTCTTAACCAGCTGTTCACGTCCCGATTCTGCCTTTCTTTTCTTCTATGTTCAGTTAGCAACAATGATGAAAACACTTCGTATATCCCTACGGTCTTCATTTTTTTCTGGAACTTCATAATACTCAGCCATGCTTCCTAGGTTTACTTGGCAGGGTTAATATTATTTCCTCATGAAAATCACTGGAACTAGGTAACAATTGTCAGATTTGTTAAGGTTTATGAGGAAGCTTTCCAACGCATCTTGGATATTTGGTCCCTGAAAACAACTCTATCATTCATGTCAGGTTAACAAACGATCTCATTGATAGCCCTCATGAAAAAGTTACCACGACCACTTCTCTCTTTTTTTCCCTGCTACTGTCTCCTGGTGGTGCTTGCAGATCTGCATCAGCTTTCTTTGGTGCGCAAGAAACCACTTCCTATGCAGAGGGTGTAGCTCTGTTCTCTAAAAACAGATGCTCACCTACCTATGAAACACCTCCAGATATTCATTGCTACTTCTACTTTCCTTCCTTATCTATGCTAGTTCTTCTACCCTCTACCAAGCAGAGTTTAGAGATTCCCCTCTGAATCTTCAGGTTCTTTTTCTTTTTGAAGGACTATTTTCATTCTTTCAAGGAAAATTTTACGTTTGTTTTTTTTTAAATAAAATAGAAAGTAGACACAGGTTTCTGCTGCCCTTTCACTGTCTCAAGTAGGGAGAGCAACATGTATTTCTTCAAATATAGCAGTTTTTTGACTTTAATAGAAACACAAACATAGCCCCTCCTGCTCAGGTGACTGCAAAATTCCTCTTGCTGTAAGTGAAGTTCTTTTTGGCAGTGCTCAGTCACTGGGGCCTCTTGAATGCTTTTTATGGTGGATGTTGCTAAGCTTTCTTTGACTGGCATTTAGTAGCTTTTTTCCAAAAGCCTCAGTGAAACAGAAGCTACTTTTGTTGTCAAAGAGGGTCTCAAACAGAACTCCCTACCCCTTTTACACCCTTATTTTTTCTGTCTTCTTTCCATGATTTACAGATCCTCTGCAGCAGCTGCAAAAATGCCTAGCCAAAATGTGTCAGAGAATATTAGCTCAGTAACTCTGATGGTAGAATCCCTAGCTCCTTTGGATCCAGAGAGGATAAGATTTAAAGCTCACATGAAACTATAGGACCCTGAGCACCATATCAGGGAACCTATTTGTAAATGCCCACTTATTTGGTTTATGAAGCTTCATCCTCATACATTGCTTATGCTTAGTGAGGGTGTATCACTCCTGCCCCGCAGGATTATTTCTCCCCAGCCCCAGCATTCCAAAGAAATGATACTCACTTAGCAAATTAGCCAGGTGGACAGGTACTTAACCTTCATCACGTCCTTTTAAAAGAACTGTTATTTCTCAGTATGTGTTAAATTGTGGCCTCTTGTGCCCATTTCTACAGTCAAAATAGAAGAAATGGCATTTTACTTTTGGAGAAAATAGTAACCTTATTGCTTGTTCACATTATTTTCTCACTGGGGCCAGATTTATAGTCTTATCTGAGAATGAACTATTATTGAACAGCCATTCCATTACTCACAGTATGGCACGTCATTACTTTGATTCCTTTGCAAAGTGCTTGTTGGTAATTGTGAACAAGAAAGGAGCAGGATGTAGGCACATAGTATATCATCTTATTTTCAGCCTTATGATACATCAGCACGTAGAGATTGTGTATACAAATGTTCTTGTACTAAAAAGAATCTTTAATGAGGGACATTAGGACTATTTTCCTTCCATGACATGTTTTGGATCCCAGTAGCAGTTGTGCATAAAAGAACACTTAAATGAAGTTTCCATTAGGCGCTTCTCCTTTATGATGCCAGGAAATTATGTAAGTTCTCTTGGAGTGTTGAATAAATATGTTGTATCGTAACAGCACTAGAATCTGCACCAGACTTTCATTAAATGAGTCCTTGGAATTCTTTTCTTGGCAGCATGTATTTTGGGGAAGGAAAGTTCTGTTCAGTGCTGAAAATAAATTAACTTGTCATCTGTTTCTTTTTTTTTTACAGGATAACAAAAAGATGAAGAAATCTTTAGAGGAAGAGCAGAGAGCACGCAAAGACCTGGAAAAGCTTGTAAGGAAAGTCTTAAAGAATATGAATGATCCTGCTTGGGATGAAACCAATTTATAATGAACTTGCCTTTTTTTCTTTCTATTGAAAGACCAGTTATTTAGACCAAGCTGGGGATGCCTTCTGACATGAGTCAGTGTTACATCAAGCGCACTACAAAGCAGGATTTAACCAGATGGAATGGTTATCTTGCCTGTCATGTGTATAGAAAAGATCTTGTTTATCGTGTGTATAGAAATGATGAAATCATTTAGTGAAGAGTCCATATGTGATGATAGAGACCATGGTTCCCGCACTGCATTGAATTAAATTTGTTAGCATCTAAATTACCTCATTTTACAGAAAGTGCAGTGACTGACTAAAAGTTCATGTTTCTCATCAGTGACTTTTAATTGAACATATATAAATATATACATATATATATATTTCTTGTAAATATCTATAATTTTTAATGCATACATGGTTGCTGTATCTGAGCTGACACCATGCTAGAATTTCCTTTCCTCTTATCTTTATGGTCACAAGAGTTAGAAGGCATATTCATGCATTCATCTGAGTGGAAGATAAGAATGTCTAAATCCTGTTCATAGATCATCCTTTTTGTTCCAAGTTACCCTACTCACATCACAATATGAAAAATACATTCTATTCTAGTACACTTAAATAATTTAACCTTATTTATATCTGTCCAAGCATTAAAATAGCTTATAAGTCTTTGCTGAAAACAGTATTAAAAATCTTAAGGATGCAGAAGTTCTGAGCCCAGGATCATTCCACTATCTTAAGTGAAGAACCCATGATTCATACATTTATTTGAGAAACTGACATACTCCACAAATGTGGCCAATTAAAGATATATGCAATTGTCTCTTTTGTCTAATTATACTGTATCAGTGATTATTTACTATATTTTTTGAGATCACACACAGACTTTTATGTATAGCTTGTTAGCAACTTGATGAAGTGCACTGTTTGTCCTCCCTACAAAAAGAGGAATCTAAAACCAGATTATGTAAATAAAATGTATTATTTATTATACAATCACTGCAGCCAACAAAAACAAATAGAGGTAATGTTATGAGCTAACATTCATGGGTAGGGTTTCTTTATTAGGCCAGTCCAAATTCTATGAGATCTATTTTTCCATCAGGATGCAGCAAATGTTAGCACAATGCTCTGTAGGAGAGGTTTTCCCTTCTCTGGCAAGTATAAAGCAATATATACATGTTATGCCCAGCCAACTGAAAGTTTTAAATTTTAAAGTTTCCCTTTCTTTCTTCCCCTCCCATTCTGCACACCCTCTGTATAAACTGTAAAGCTAATGGGGAAATGGAAGTCTGGGATTACATTTGCTTTTCTAAGCCTTTCTGGCAGCCTCAGTCTTGCATTTAAAAATCTTACCAGTGGCTTGGAGTAGATGAAAGCCCTGCTTAAAGCATAGCCACTTTTCTGTTCTGCTTCAGTGATGTAAGATCTATGATCCCAGGAACTTCAATGTTTCATATTTCACACAGATTATTTCCTTTTTTTTTTTCTGATTCAGTCAGTTTTAAAATGAAGTGAATTTGAATTGTTTCATAGAGCATGTACAAAAGTCTTTTTTTAAGAGGCAAAAACCTGCAATGCTGTATAGTAAGGACTCTTGGCAGAAGACTCAGAAAGGCCAGCTAGCCTCTGGCATCTAAAGGGTATCAAGTACAAATTGTAGCCTGTACCCAGGAAGGTGATTGAATTTAGGAACTTTCTGAATACTAGGCATAAAAAAGGGGATCATTTCCCCCCTAATAATACCTGTATTTTGATATACTAATTCACTTTGAAATGGCAACTTTAAAAGGATTTGGATCTCTCTGATAATTGTGGTTTCTTCTCAGCTTCATCTTATTAAAGGTTCTGGTCCTGAATTTGTTTAATTTAACTCAGTGGCGCAGTTGGTTTTCTTTTTAGAAACATTATACAAACAGATCCTTTTATGTGGTATAGAATCTGTCATTGACCTAATTGATGAGAAAATCCAGGGATGGTGAATAAGTGAATTTTGACATTCTGATTCAGTATTCAGAATTTCCAACATGCCGTAGTTCACATGTAATGCAGACATGACAAGATGAAAAATTTCAGGTTTTTTATTTAGGAAGTTTTCTTAAAGGTGGATTTTGTTCCTTAATTATTTACAGTTGAAAGGACATTGCAAAGGAAAACAGTACAAAGGAAGAAAGTATTTAAGTTTGCCTTCTTTAGCAGATTTTAACTCAGGAACAACTTTGATCTGATCTTCTCTCCATCACTTTGTAAAAGGTGGTATCGCTGTGTCTCTTTGCTGAGAGATATAACATCTGTCCTAGCTGAAGAACTACTTTAGCTGACAGCATATGCCAGGATAGATCTCTTACAGAACATGCCTTAAATAGTAGAATGAAGTATTTAATTCAAGTGTGATGGTGTTTTTAATGTCTCATTCCTTCATGTAGGGGATGGTCATTAAGATGACTGTGTTAATGCATTGCTTTTTCTTTCTGTAGATCCCAAACCTTGAATTTAATAAGTCAGGTTTTGGGAGAGCAGAGAAAATGCATCTTGAGTGTTTCTTTTTTTAAATTTGTTCTTTTGTACATAATACTCTGTATGTTTCACCGTGTGACCTTCTGAGGGGTTGGGAATTTGATATAAACATTAAAAATGGGGCACTGTGTATTTAACCTTTGAAAGGGTTACTTCTTTGCTCTCACCTTTTATGGATGAGGAGATGAAGCCATTTCTTATCCTGTAGATGTGAAGCACTTTCAGTTCTAAACTGTGTTTGAAATGTAGCATCTGAAATTCTTTTTGGTGTACTTAATGATGTATGTGCTTGTTTGTCTCACCATGTGTCATGACATCCTGGACATTAAACAACTGACTGCCTTTGTATAGATTTTCTTAATGCCAATTGTTTGTTTAGGAAATCTAGAGCATCCATTTACAATAACTCTGGAGAAAATTTTAATCTAAATGTCACAGATAATGTCCTGGTATTGACTACTACAATGTTTATGCTACATTGTTGTAATTAATATTAAACAATGATTTTTTCCTATATTATGAAACATTGTCATTTCATCCTGTGGATTTTCTGTTTTTATTAATAAGTAAATGAATTTTGTATAGCCAGCAGAAAAATTTGAAGAACAAGGTGGGCCACGGTAAAGCAGGAACCTGTGAGAAAATCCAAGGTAAAATTACAAGACTTCCCCTTACTGAGGAAAATATCAACTGCTTAGTGCTGAAGATACAAAGCAAGAAAAGCAGAAACCAAAAAAAAAAAATTGCCTTCATTTCCCTCTCCTTTCCTTCCCTCGACCAAAATGAAACACACAAAAACTAAAACCAACAAACAACCCTTGACGAAGCAGATTGTTCTAGTTAGAGAAATTTAGTTGTCAATAGAATATGTAGACAGTCTGACAAATTGTATTAGCAGTTGCTTGTTAGTAGTCAAGATTGAATGGAGTTACAAGAGTAGCAGCTGTTTAAAAAAATGATAGTCTTTTGGTATTCTTAGAGCTTACAAACACTGAAGGTGTCCATGCCTCTCCTTCACCACCCCACTGGTGACTCCCTGTCCATGACCTCAGAATTTTGGCAATCAGAAAAATTACAGAATTAAAACTAAAGAACCTTTAACTAGTGAGGTAGATGTACACAAACTCAACTGGAACCTCACTGCTGTTAGGCAGTCTTGTACTTCCCTTATCAACTCACTGTTCTACTGTCCACAGTGGCTCTTGGAAACCTTCTCAAGCCTGCCATGGCTCCCACTCTCCCCACCCTGTTAGCTGAGAACATTGCCTTATAATTTACAGAAAAAAATGGAAGCCATTCAATATGAGCTCCTTCTTCTCCCCTCTTTCTTGTCTCATATCACTGATATACTCTTTCCCTTCACTTCTGTCTCACATGAAGAAGGTGACCTTATTCTGACCAAGGCCATGTGATCCCATCTCCATACTACCATTTTTTTTCAATCTCTCTCTGTGTCATGGCTCCTTCCCTCATCCTCACTTGCTCTTTCCACCCCTGCTAATTATTGTCCTAAATCTCTTCTGCCACTTTGAGGCTAAACTGGAAAAGGTCATGTACAGTGGATTGCTTCCACTTTCTATCCTCTCACTCTCTTCTTAACCCATTACAATGTCTTCTGACCTCACCATTTCACCAAAAATGCTCTGGTCAAAGTTATCATTGATCTGTTAATTGCCAAATCCTGTGGCCTTTTCTCAAACCTCATTCTCCTGGACCTCTCTGTAGCCTTTCATACTGTTAATCACCTTCTTTTTGATACTCTTTTCACTAGGTTTTCAGTACTCCATTCACTCCTGATTCTCCTCCTATCAGACTGCTTCTCAGTCTCCTCTGCTGGATCTTCATCCATATCACACCATCCTATGGGAGGTGTTCCATAGATTTCTATTGTAAGCTGTCTTCTCTTCTTCTATAATGCACTTGGTGATCTCATCAGCTCTCATGGATTAAATTAATAATTTTATGCTGATGATTCACAGATCTACCTATCCTGCCCTAACCTCTGCTGATTTCTAGGCAACTCATCTTGGATGTTGAGTTCAGTTTTAAACATGTTGATTTTAAGATGTTTACTCAACATCCAAGATGAGAAGAAGAGAAGGAGTGTTTCTTCTGACCTTTATATGTTTGTTGGTAGGACCACTCTTCATTCTTATCTTCCACGTTTGGGATTTTGGTGTTTCCTTTGACTTTTCCTTCTCCCTTACCTCATATGCACTTACCAAGTTCTATCCATACTTCTTGTATCCATCTCTCCATTCTGTCCATGCCCCTTTCCCCACCAGCTCGCTTAAATTGCTGAAGTAACCTCTTCACAAGTTCCCTGCTAAATGGAGTATGTCACCAGTAGCCTCATTCATCATTCTTGCAGCGGCATGTGGGCACAGCACTGGACTTGGGAGTCAGGAAGACCCAAGTTCAAATTCTGCATCACATTTAGCCTTGGCAAACCCTAGTTTGCTTATTTGTAAAATGAATATAATAATAGCACTTACCTCACAGGGTTGTTGTGAAAACCAAATGAGATTACACACATGTATGTATGTATAAAACACTTTGCAAACCTTAAAGCACTATATAAATGCTAGTTATTAGTATTTCAAAAACTTCACAGACCAAAGTGCCAATATATAACTGCCATTTCCCTCTGTGTTTTTCCCCATTAGAAAATAAACTCCTTGAAGACAAGGACTGTCTTTGCCTTTAATGTTTATATCCTAGCACTTGGCATGTAGTAAGTGCTTAAGAAATGTCCATTGATTCATTAAGCAAAAACCTGATCATATCATTCTTCCTACTTTTTTAGGCTTATTTCAGACTTTTGTTATTTGTGCAGTTGTTTCAGTTGTGTCTGACTCTTCGTGACCGCATTTGGGGTTTTCTGGGCAAAGATTCTGGAGTGGTTTGCCATTTCCTTCTCCAGCTCATTTTACAGGTGAAGAAACTAAGGAAAATGGGGTTAAGTGACTTGCCCAGGGTCACACATCTAGTGTATGAGGCCAGATTTGGATTCAGGAAGATGAGTCTCCCTGTTTTCAGGCCTGGCTTGCTATCCACTGTGTCACTTTTCTAGGAAGGCTGCTCCCTATGGGAAATGGATAGCTAAGAGATTTAGTATTTCCTATAGAGCTGCTAAATTTATTTATGATAACAGGCAGTAAATATCTGTCTATAGTACATGAACTTTGGACCTTTTTAAAGGATATTTTTGCTTTTCAAAAGTAATTTTCATAAGGGATACAGAGTTAAGCTCTATAATGAGGTAGTTTCTTTAGGCTTCATTTGAATTGTGTGTGCCCATGTGAGTTATCCGTTCTTTATAGTTCTAGATCCATTTCCTTACCCATTTTTTATCTCCTTAGTTTTTATTACCTTGGCATTTAATATTTTCCACAGTACTCGCTCCTTCAGGTGAACTGTTATGATAGGATCAATGGAATTTTTAAAAACTAATGATTTGGAGGATAGGAACCAATATAATATAGGATATAATATGTAATATATTAATTTTATAATAATAGGAGCCAATAATTCAAAACAAGAATCACAAACTATTAACAACCATATGAAAGTTCCAAATCAATAATAATGAGTTACAAAATGCCTGTGAGTTTGCACATCACACTCAGAAGAAGACAAAGAGTGGGAATAATGCTAAAGGGGTTGTGGAAAGACGCACAGTGATACCTTGGTAGTAGAACTGGAAATTAGTGGAATCACTCTGGAAAGCAATTTGAAATTATGTAGAAAAAAGGGGAAAGGGGCTAAAATGGCTATATCCTTGGATCCAAAGATTCCAACACTAGAACTGTATCCCAAGGTCAATGACAAAAAGAAAGTTTTCATATATACCAAAATATAGCAGCATTTTTTTGTAGTAGCAAAAAAACTGGAAATAATGGATGATCCTCAATTAAGGGAATGGCTAAATTTGTAGGGCATGAATGGAATGTTATTGTTAGAAATGATGGATACAGAGAAGTATGGGAAGTTAATATCAAATTATACAAAATAAAGTAGAACCAGAAAAATATTATATGCCATGACTATTATGATATAAATAGAACAACAATAACTGTAATCAGAACTGAATGTTATGAAAGTGTGATGACCAAGCTTGAACCCAGAGGAGACAGATAAGAAGTCCCTCTGCTTCATTGTAACAGTGGGAGATCAGGTAAATAATACCTGTAACACTTTTTCAATATGTTCGTTAGTTTTGCTGAACTGTTCCCGCCCACCCCGGTCCTTTGTTGCATGGAATAGCTCTCTAGGACAAGGAGGGGGTAGGAAATACGTTGAGAAATGCACATGTTATAAAAACAAAAGAGAAAAATTTATTTTTAAAAAATTTATGAAAGGTATTAAAGAGCTCTTAACACTGGGTCTAGTTAGCACTTCTCTACATGGGACAGCAGCTTTAGTGTTCGGAAACTCTGAGGTTATGCTACTTTTGTTGGGTTGAAACAAACCAGACTCTTCATGTGTCTCTGCTGTGATTCACTCGTATTCCTAATCTTGTGTCTTGCTTTATATAATGATTATATTTAAATGACCTCAGGTCCAAGCAAGATGCTTGGAGATTTAGGATGCCTTATCATGTAATATAAGGAATATTTTGTAGTTAAACAAATGCCTGGAATTTTGGTAAGTTAACTTAGTAAGCTGTCATGACTAAGTTCATAGAGATGGAGTTGGACATGGGAGAGACAGAGAGACCCTCATAAGTAAAAATTACCTTGTAGAAAAATAGAGTGACTGAAAAAAAAAAGAATAAACAAAAAAGGAAAAAAAACAGTTGAGGAAATTTAATTATAGTTGTTATGGAGTAAAATAAAGGAGGAAGCTATCTTCGAAAGGATAAAGAAAATTTAATGACAGTAATGAAATACCAAGAAACAAAACTTCAGAGCTCTCATATAGCTCCATTAATTTCCAGTTGTACTAGTTAAAAAAAAGTTTTATTATTCTTCCACCTCTGCATTTTAGTCCTCCATCTCAACAATTCCTCTGAGAATCAATCAACAAATGGGGCCATCACCAGTCATCTTATGTCTTGCCACTGTACTCTGATGATTCAGGAGGAGTGAAGCTAATGACTTTGCACAGCTCTGCTTCACTTAAATCCATTAATTCACTTGCAAGGCAAGACATCACCCTCCTGATATCATTGGTCCTCTTCGTGAAAAAAGGACGAACCACAACAATCAATCAGCAATCATTTATTAAGTACCTACTGTGTACCAGATGCCTACTGAGTGCTAAGGATAGAAACGCAAAATCAAAACAGTTCCTGCCCTTGAGGAGTGAAGGGAGATAATAGGTGGAAGTGTCAGCTTATACAGAAT